AAAAAAAAAATTGAAAAATTCCACTTACCGTGTAGCGAGCGATAAAGTAAAAATCTTTTAAAACTCGTAAAAATCAAAAAATCCTCTACTTGTGTGTTAACATAAATTTTTGATGCACTTATCGCCCTGCCAAAAATCAACTTATCAAGTGACAATAACAGAGGAGAAAGTGAAACCAATAATACATTCTAAATTACACTTTACAGATTAAAAAAGAAAAAGAAAAAAAAAAAAAGAAAAAGAAAAAAATCAAAAATAAAAAATAAAGTAAAAAACGGCACGAAAAGCACTAAATTACTGCCAGATGAAACAGCAAGCTAAAAAAAATTACACTTCATTGTCAGCTAATTTTTTGTTTCCCTTCAAACTGTTTTTACCAAGGCTATCATTTGTAAGAATATTAAAGCGTCACAGTGATGATCACATTTTTCATGCTGGTCTAGGATATGTCTTATTTGTTGCTTTACCAAAGCAATCAATTTTAAAAGGGGTACACACAGAATTTAAAAAAGACGTGAATTATATTTAAGCAACAGGTAAACAGAAAACAGTTCAAGAGTTTGGTTTGTGATAACAGCAAATGACCTTTGTTTTCTTCTACAGCCCTAATTGATATCTGAATGTTTTAATCGGCGCAGACAATAAAACGATGAACAGATAAACCTATATCAAACAATAGCTGTCTGACGTTAATGTTATAGAACAATTATTAATACCAGCAAGAGATCGCCCTAGTTGTTGTTCAGTTACAAAAATACTGCAATTCTGCTGCAACAAAGCTACTGCTATTGCGCTGTCACTGACGACAAGTACGTCGATAGCATTGTGCAGCGCTCTTCCCTTTGATGCCAAAAGTGCACTGCGGACTGAATCGGTTCAGCGCTTGAAACGACGATTCGTTAAATGGCAAGTGTTGGGAAATCTCAAACTTCTGCTTTCCTTTTTTGCTGAGTTTTTGTTACCTTCCTCTGAAATTTATTTGGTTTGCCATTAAGTACTTGTTTTTATTAGCAATCTAGAGGGATAATTTATTTTTACATCTTTAGAAGTGACAACTGTGTTTACGAATTTCGGAGCAAGAACTTGTTCAACTTTGCTCTATTTTCATCTTCAGCAGTTAGTCAGCTGTACGTTAGATTATCCAAGATTGGCGGCTAAACTGGTGCTCGAAAACCATACGACTGCTAGCGTCGGAGATGAACAGGGCAGTAGCCACGATAACGAGAAGTGTTTCTAAACTTCAGATATCTCAAGGTAATTGGTTACGTTATCTCTTTTAACAGGGGTTTACAGCAAGTTAAGATGGTTCCGTGCCACAGGAACAGGCTGAGTAATTTAACTGGCTTTTATTTGAAAAATCAGCATACTGAAACTAGACCCTGTTCTATCGTAGGGTTTTCTTTCTGTTTTTCAAGACTGGAAGTTGTGAGTAGTTTTTGCAGTTATAGCATCGTTTGGTGGACATCCAAGTTGCTCACAGTCACCTAGCAGTTCATTGAAAATACGTTCTGTCGGAGCAGATGGACATCCACGTTTGTCCCAAAAGCAGCTTCTAAAGCTCATATCTGTGGGCTTGCCTGCTGTAAAAACCCCGATGGAACTACCTCCAAGTACTAGTAATCATAAGGTAGACTCAGGATCACGTCACTTTTTTTATTAAAAAGTCTAAAGTTTACAAAGTTTTTCTAGTCCTTAAAACTGATTTAGGTATATACTTTCCCTACCTTCAGTAAAGAGGCGTTACGTGCTCCATCTACTGCTGTTAAAGAGTTGTTGGAAATATTTGAACCTGTCACTGAGAAGGTTATTAGCCTTTGTTAATTAATCAGTGAACTAGCATTATTTGTATGCTGGTTATAGAAATAATTTATATATTTACTTGTGACTGACTATATCATTGAAAGACTAGCATACTGAGTAAAACTCTTCCTGTTTTGCGGAAAAAGTAGTTTAAGGTACCTATGGAAGTACCAGGGACCAAATCTATAACTCCGATGTTCGCAGGTGACAGGTTGTTGACTATTCGACGGGCTAAAATGAACAAACATAAACGACGAAAACGGCAACGGCGGGACCGATTTCAGCTCCTAAAGTATCATCGACAACAAAAGGCCAAAGTACTGTTGATTGTATCATCTTTTGCCTCAGGAAATTGCCCATTTTTTACAGTAATTGAAAAAAAAGGTTTTTGACTGCTGCTTATATTGAATTTACTGGCTGCTTGATATTGATTTTCTGCGAAAACTTTGCGTAGAGGACACTTTCTGAGGTTTAAAATTTCCATTATGAGTTGTCTGTCTTCTTTATCAGCAGCAATTTGCTTCTTGCTGTATTTGTATTATATGGTACTTAAACTCATCTAAAGTCTTTTAAGAGCCACAAACAAGAATTAGTGCGTTTGTAGGTTCGATGATTACATATTACATGCGACTTTTTCATTTTTTTTTTGGGGAGAACAAGAACCGTCAAATGGCAGTATCATGCATTGGTTCTTCGTGACCTAAATTTGTAATTTTTAGTCTGAACAGCTTTTCCATGAGCGGATGAAGAAGAAACTACTTGAGTTGAAGACTTTTGACCCCGAAGAATATGTACGAGACGTCATTGCAAGGTTTATTTTTGTGAACGGTGTAGCAGTATAAGTTTTTTTGTTGATTTCACACTTTCCTCTTCAATTACTTATTGTCTGGACATTTTCTTCTGGTGTTTATTGAATCATTAATTAAGTAATTTGCATAAAAGTAATTGAGTTTTATTTTACTTCACAATTATCCAACTCATTACAGCATTTCGGCATGACCAGCTTGTATGAACAGATAAATATACTTCAATATTTCTTCACGTACTATTTAACGTTTACTTTCAATTGAAAGGATTTTAAGGGCTAGTCGGGATTGGACGACCGAAATGGTTCCTTCTGGAAGAAAGAAGTATCCTCATTGGTCTACACTGATGTCGATTGAGGAGCTTTATGGCATTCCTCCCGGAACTTATATAGATAAGAACGCTGGATTACCGGACGAGGAGGATGAAGAGCGGATTCGTAAACTGAAGATAAAATATTATAAAGAATTTCGAGGTGAAATTATTGATGGAGGTGGTGACGGTAAAAAGGAGAGCGAGAAGAATTAAAGCGAAATGAAAAACTTTTTGAAAGTTTGGTATAAGCTTTTATTTTATGGAATGCAGTATTGGTATTCGTAGTTTTCGAAATTATTTTTGGTTCTTATTTGCAAGAAAGGTCTGGAACTTTCTTACTTTTGAGACGGTTGTACTTTGACTAGATGCTGGATTTAGCTGTCTTTTATTATTTTATGAAAGAAATGCCATTTTATGAATTTTTTGTTTGTGCTTGTGGGGTAAGTAAGCGTGTCTTATCAAGGCATTGCTTTTCAAATGACCGATCTTTTAATCCATCTGGCTCAACATCTCTTGCTTCTTCTTACCTTCAAGTCGAATTGGAGCGCTTTCAATTTGTGGATTGTTACTGGTTACTTCTTTGTTCGGTATACAGTTAATGTATGGTACTTCGATATAAATAATTTTGCAGTTACAATTTCTTTTATTATGTTGTTTATTGTATTAGTTAAAGTTATTATTGCATCACGAATTGTTATTAAAAGACATTTTTTTATTTGTTCAATTAGATAGTAGATAATAACAGTTTTAGAGAACAATGTTTTCTTGTTTTGGAGATTCTGGGACATTATCAACATGAACTTCAATGAAAGATTTCTGTGGTTCTTCAGCTTCCTCCTTCTTAATGGATTCTGCTAACGCAGCTTCGGCTTCTGACAGTTCAGTCTTTAGTCGAGCAATGTACTGCAAGAAAAAAGGGAAGTGAAGAGTTGGTAAAGAAGGTCTACTTTTACTACTAGTTTTTTTATGGCAGTTTTTACTATCTTCCTGCACCTTGAACCTAAACAGTTAAGAGAACTTTGCGGATGTAGAGAATTTGCAGTCAAAAAATTTCTCTCACTTGAGAGCATGTAGCAGAAAAAAAATTTATAGGTCACTCTGAAATTATTTAGCTTAATTCTTATTAAAAATTCTTATAGCTTAACTTAAAAGAGTGGTTTAGAAGACGCTGCAGAGCAGTTTTTGCCGCTATATGTACCTCTAATACCGAATTGCGTTAGGTCGTATCAAGTGCTTGTTAAAATAAAATTTTTGGCTTTTCTTTCAAAGCCTTATTTGTTTCAAGGAATCCCTATTTGGATTGTTTGAAGGGAATAAACTATCAGTCCGTTCTTCTCTTTTGTCTATTTGTGGGACGGTAGGTAAAACCTACGTTAGACAACTGAGCTTTAGTACAGCTAACACCACGAGCATCCATCCGACATGACTGTTTCAGTAGCTCAATTTCTAGCTGAAAGTAACTGGTTTTTAAAGACTGTTCCAGTGCCTAATTCTTCGTTCCTAGATCTTAAGAACTCGTTATTTGATCAGTTTAAATAGGTAGTTGAACTTTTCAACTATTACTAGTTACCTCTTTTGCCTCCTCAAGATCTCGTTTCATCCTGCACTCCATTTTGCATTGCTCATAGGCAGTTATAATTTTCATATTTTTCGGTTTCATACGATGAACTTTCTTTTCTCTGACATTTCTTTGAACCTCTGATAAAGACGGCAAAATTTCTTCTTCTTCGACTGTCTAAAAAGTAGTGATAAAGTTGCAATTTTTATAATTTTGTTTCTTATTGGTCAGTATTTGCTTACATTTTGAACTTTCATTGTGTCTAAATAATACAGAATTTAAAAGAAGAAGCAGAAATTGGTGTTCTTCATTGTATTATTGAAAGGAGCCGCTTTTATGTTGTTCAATTTGGTCGTCTTGTTTCTTCAGTTACTCATCCAAAGGAAAAAAATTGATAATTACTATCGGAAAAACTTGACAGTTTAAAACTGACGCTTCGCTTGCGTGTCCAATTTATTGTTGTTACCAAATAGAAACAGAAAAGTAAAAAAAAAATAAAATAAAAGAGAAATAAAAAGATGAAAAAAGTCAGAAATGTTTATCGCCTACTTCAGCTCAAAAAAAAAAAAAAACGAAATAAGCTAACAACAGAAATTAATTGTTGTAATTTTACTCAATTAGTCAACGGCAATTAGCGACAAAACAGAACAAACCGGAGCAGCGTTATGATCCGGTACTATAGTGTGCTTGATTGGTTCCTTCTCAGCTTTTGTTCCAATATCCTTTTTGGAGCGTTTATGAGTTCCATCATATCCCTTATTCTTTTTATCACCTTTATTCCTAAAAATGTGCATCTATTTTGCTTTAAATTTCACCCTCTTTTTCCGCCTTTGCCTTTGTTTTTTTGACAGAAAAACAGCCAGCAAAAGAGAAGAAAGTATTTTTTGGAACTCTATTTCGTTTTTCTTTTAACAGGTTTATCTTGTTTACTTCTGTAATATTTCGATGTTCATAATGACAAAATTTGCAGCAGTGCTGTAATACTGTAACCTTTTGCAATTTTTGCAGTTTACTAGCTGAAATTGCTAAGCGTACCAGTTGAGAATGTCTGGATTATCTGTGAGCCGAATGGAGCAGGATGTTAGGAAGAAGTGTGGGTCGACTTTAAAAAAGCTGTTTATTTGTTGAGATAAAGCTGTTGGAAAGAAAAATTGATGAAAATAAGCATAATCAATAGTTTCAGTGTAGCTGTTATTTGTTTAGTTTTTTTTTGTCTGTTTATTAGCAAAATGCAGTTGCTGATTCGTACAATGGAGAGGGTTGTCAAGAAAAGGGAAAACAAAAGTAGAGAAAAAACTGATCTGATCTGTGAATAACGAGGAAGATAGTCGGGAGATGGCTAGAAGGGTTACAGAGGATGGAGCAAAAATGGAAGCAAAAGGTATACCAAAACTGAAGCGAGAAAAAAAAAAAAGAAAAGAAAACGAAGTTTAAACATAGATGGAAAATGGTTGGTAATCAGCAAATGACTTTTTTTTTTTTACGGTCAACTTAATAAGTCGTCTTTCTTTTTTTTTTCCTTTTTGCCGTCTAACTTTTGTTTTGCCACCTATTAATTAAAATTAAAAATGCTATTGAAACGATGAATTTTCAATGAATACTTCTTTGTGGACATTTTTTGCAGATAAACCACATCTTTTTTTCAGCTCCTTAATTGTTACAGTGAAGTATTGATTTAAAAAACGTTTCCTTTTACCTTCTCTTATCGCACCACGCCCCCAACACCCCGTTTCTTCATCAGTTGGTGTGATAATCACCGGTTTAATGCTTGTTAAGCTACAAAACAACCGTAAGACTTTTTTTTTTTTTTTGTTGAAGTTACTGCAATTATTTTGATAGAAGGGAAGTAGAAAGGGAAAGAAAAAATTAAAAAAGAAATAAGAACCTGAAAAGTTGAAAAACATTTTTTTGCATCCCTGTCGGTATGAAATTTTTCTGACATTCAAAAAAAAATTACATAAATTAACAAAAAATCAACTACTTCCCCCTAACTTGGCAATTTAAACACGATGAAGATAAAAAATATGTGTAACAACTACAAAACTCTGTTTGAAGCAGATACGGAAAAAAAATTTTTAAAAACCGATGTATTATTGCAACGATGACAACTTCCGGAGCAAGTGATAATGAGCAATCAAGCAAAAATGTTTTAAATGCACAACAGATACAATCTTAACAGTGTAACTTTTTGAATGCACATAAATTTTAATTCATGAATAAAAAGCAACAACAATAAAAGGAATGATTAGAAATGGAAAAGGAAATATCTTACGTCTTTGTTTTTTTGGCCTCAAATACAGGAAGAAGTATCAACACAACGATAAGAAACAGAAGGAATATACGCGATAGTTTCATCGTCAAAAATTTTTGCTCGTCTTTTTGCGCTACTGTTGTCAGCTGGTTACTTTTTTTTCCCTTCCAAAAACCCGGTAGCCAAAACCTTGATGTCCTCCGTTCGTTACCCTTATCACAGTGACAAAAGACGATTGCAGAATGAAGTTGGCCTTTTTGAACAGGCGACAACAGCGGAAACAACACCAGTAGCAGCGGTAACAGTAACAGTCACGACGAGCATAACGATGATGACGATCACATCGACGGCTACAACGAAAACGATCAACGACGATGGCAACAGCAGCAAAAACAGTAATGCTCGTTTTTTGTATCAAGCAAAAAATCTATCACTTTTGTCAGTTTCGCTTGCAATTACGTCAGTAATTTACTGTTTCACACATTACCTGTACTT